ATACCATCCAGTCTTCTCTCTTCAAGATATATTACTACTAGGCGCAGTTATCCGCGCAGACCGTTAGCCATCGAAACGAGCATAACAATAATAGAGACATACGCTACAGACGCATGGAAGAGGTCTCCATAAAGTTAACCTAATTTTAAAAACATATAAGCATGCTTCTGCAAGAGTTTTACCACTATTAACACCGGAATTAAACGCCGTAAAGGAATGGTAGCATGCAGCCACTATGCAGTGTCCATCAGCCAGGCTTGAATTAACTTGCAGCATTCCCATGCGTGTCTTTTAAGATTTTCAACGTAGCTGACAAAACCTTATCCCACAGGCCAACCGATAGCGCGCTGACTTTGCCAAAGAAGTGGATCTTCGAATATAAATGTAATGCCCTTCCGTACAAAGTAACTGGCAATGCCAAATGTCATTGTTGTGGGTTTAGTCTTTGTCAGTAATACTTACCAACTTTTTCGTAGCTCCCGGATCCTACTGTAAATTCTTCAATATAATTGGAAATAATCTTTTTATACGGTGCATCAGTGAAGTAGACTACAAGTCAAAAAGTAATACCTTTTTAATTGCCATCTAAAGCCGAATTACACATCGGAACCCGATCAGAGAATTTCCTTAAAAAATCATAGGATTTATGTGTCACAGTTGTCCTTCTTTAGCGGATGGGTAAGCTTAATCTGAAAAGTAATGAAGAAAGTACAGTCTATCTGGTACAGACTGACATCTTCTAGACGGTGGTGTCTAATACATAACGTACGTTTGTGGAGTTTGTCTAGTTGTGCCCAATATTAAATGTGCCTGATTTTGCCCAGATTTATCTGGTCTACGTATTTTCTCGATAAGTGAAACGAACAAGGTTCAAAGGACAGGAATGGTCTTTTATCTCATATTTTGCCGCAAAAATTACCCAGACTGAAAAGTGCAACCCGAATACTGAAAAAAAGCTTTCTGCTATCTCTATTTATACAGATGGGTAATCATATTCTGAAAAATTGATGAGGAGAGTACAGCATTTCTGGTGCAGGCTGAAATCTTCGAAACAGTAGCGCAAACCGAAAGTCAGGCCTACTTTTCAATTCTTAACGTACATTTGCGAAGTTTGTCTAATTTTGCCTGCCCAGTATAAAAGGTTCCTGCTTTCGCCAGCATTTATCAAGTGTGATTCTTTTCTCTGTTGGTGAAACGAACAGAGTCCAAGAGATAGAAATGACTGCTTTTCGAATATTCGATCTTGGTAATCGCTCAGACGCAAAAGTCGACCCTGAATACTAAAAAAGCATTCTGCTAGCTCTATTTTACCGGACCATTTGGAAAAAAACGATTCTCTTATGAAACATTATGTATGAAGTTCCTGGGATATGTGCTATAATTGCTACAAGCTTCCTGCTTTGAGCGCTAGAGCAGTACTGTAACGAACGGTGCCAGACAGATTGCGAAAAGAGAATGGATTAAATATTTGTAACAGAAATAGTTTGTCATTGTCTGATACATAAATGCAGCTCTTTAGGCTGCGAATTAAATTATGACATCGGAAACTAATCGTGAAACCGATAAAATAAGGTTGGCATTTTTTCCATAAATTCACCGGTGTAAAAGAATTCCGTCTGTTTGTACCATCCCACTTTTGTTAAATCAAAACAAATTCTGGATATTTATTGTGTAAAAATTTCGACAAACCTCCTCAGATCACAGGTGCATTTAACGGTCGTGTTTTTTGAAGCAACCATTCATACGCATGGTGCATTATTCTTAATTGAGGGGTAAATGACTTTGAAAAAAACGCATTACTGTTCCGCGGAATATTTTTCTGATTTCGAGTTGCCACTAAATCGATGAAAGCTTTTGCAGCGGAAGCTTTCGCTATTTGTTTTCATGGAACAAAAATTGAGGAAATTAGATTAAAGAATTATAATGAAATAGTAAAACGAAAACACGTCAATCTGAAAATAAGTTTCCGCTGCACTGAGATTCGAACCACCGGCTCACCTGAGGTGCTCAGACTTCCATCTCAGAAATTGCAATTGTATGTCCACTCGAATGCAACCAGTAAGGACTGTTAATAGGAAAGCTTTCATCTGTAATCAGGATCCTCAGAAGTGGACCTATTGCCCTGAGTTAAAACGGAACATAAACCTGTCTTCTAAATTAATCCCAACGCCAAATTTAGCAGTGCCTTCGATTTAATTGAACGCAGAGTCACTTGCATTGCGAAGCGTGCCTACAGCCGTGGTCTATCGGGGACCATATATAAGATACTTATAGAGAAATAGGTGTCATTCATACGGGGCATCCCTATTTATACGGACGTATTAATCTCATTAACTTTTACTGCACGTGAAGCCTTTCAGTCAAAATTAAAAAAAAATTAGCAACTCAACATGAGATGCGCGGGCGTGCGCGTACGGTCAGAAGACGATGCCATAAAATGTGAAAAAATTTCTGAAATGATATTCAGAGATTAGGAAAGATTACTTAAGCGGTTTTTGTAAACAGTGTTGGAAGGTCTGGTGACGCACATTAAAATTTTGCACATAGTCTCCATCAAGTGCCGCAGAGGAGGATAACGGAAATAGTCGCGTGTCCACTTTTAGTTTTGTTAGTTTTAGTTTAATTTTTCAATGCATTATTTAGCATCTTACACAAACGTTAGTGTATATGTCATTTCGTTTTTAATTTAGTTAGGAACCTTTGACGTTAGACTAATATACTTAAACACGTCACATATACTAAACCAACCAAAGTGCATGTAAACCGGAAAAAAGATTTGACAAATGCGATAAATAATAAACTGAAACCTAAATTAAAATAATATAAGACAGCATTTCGGGGGCTAGGGCTATGTAAGGTGGGCGAAAAAAATAGCTTTTTCCAAAGTCGAGTTTTTATTTTTATACCTGCTGTTTTAAGCATGTTCCTGCTTTCCTGAGTTTTCTTCATGCACAAATTGCTGATAAAGGGGACGGAACTAAGACGCGTAGGTAATGAGACGAACTATAGAATGATAGTTCGCTTCTAAAAATCTTCGTTTTATGAACTTACTCTGACACGACTGGGAAACATTCTCGAAGACCTGGCCAAATTTCACAGTTTTGAAAACAATCTATAAATGATTTTACCGTTTCTAATTAAAACCCTTTAAATGTTTTCTTTGTATATATTACCCAAAGTTGACAGACCAACAGGAAAATGAATGTGCACTAAGTGGAGACACCCTTTTAAATAGAGCCGTGACTACTCGGGGTGCAATAGCAAGCCATGGCAAAAATTATCTTATGTAGCATTATCTTCGGAGGATTGACTTTGAAGTTCTGCTTTTAATGTCCGAAATACAGGCGTTTTAGACACTCAGCGTAAACAGCTGCTGTGGCGTTTATAAAACATGCCTTTGTTATTGGACGTCTACAAAATATTTAGCAGGCCAACTGTCTAATTTAATATGTTGTTCGAGTACAAAACAATTTAACTCATATAAGGTCTGTTAGTTGAGACTTAAAAGCTAAGTTGGATCTACCTTTCGTCAGCTTCTTCATCACGGACACACAAATGAGGGAGAATGCTTTCATCCAAACCTTTCATATTCAGCTGGGTACGATCTCGTTTTCTCAGGCCCTTGCTGTTCTCTGGTGAGTAGAAAGGCTGAAAACGCATGCAAAGTGAAATGAAGGAAACATTTTCAATTTCCAGAATATGTCGTGAAGAATTGGATGTTCCAAAGGCAACAACATCCGCCTTGAAGACCTGGATAGAAATGTTGTTGGATTCATATCTGCTTTGAAATTCCCTGTTTGTTATAATCTTCTTATGTGCCTCTCAAGGTGTTAACCTTCGGACCCAACACTGCACTAGTTCAAGGAGACCGGAATCATACAATGTAGGCTTATGCATTTGCCCCCTAATAAATGCAGCTTATCGTCGATAAATTTGTTTAGTTGCGCAAATAATAGTAAGATGCTAGATGATTGGTTTTCACAAGACGGGGAACATTTGTTAGTATTAGTGTGTCGCTATTGGACATGCCATATGCCTATATATTCTAATTCTTTGCCCTAAATTACGTATTAATATATATGTAGATATCAGACGGACGAGGTCTATTCAACGTAATTCTCTGCTGAATACTTCTGTACTCGTCATTTTGTGAGCTATAAAAAATTGCCCTATCTACGTAGAGCCAACCTATTTTTATGCTATATTAGACTTAGCAAAAGCTGGAATGCTGAATTTCTTCCTATCTCATTTCGCTTCGAACAGTGCGTTTGTTTGGTTTCCTGGAGCCCACGAAATCTGCATTTGATCTTGCCTTATGCCTTGTAGCGTGCTGCTCTGGCCTAGTCAAAAATTGACATAGTTGTCGCACATTAAAAACATTCTTCTAAGTTGAGCTTACTATTTTCATATAATTCTCATACCGCGACGTCCTCTACCTTAACTGCGTCTCTGATTTGCTTAATTTATCAACTGGCACTCGTTTTATTCTGTGGAGCGAAGCATTTTAGAAGTAATAGAACCCGAGTCACAATCAAGAAAACTCTTGAAAATATCCTCAGTAATTCCCTCATTTTTAAAGCTCTCTGCACTTTTAAGCTGCGTGCTTGACCGCCATGCTCACGCATGAAATAAGATTTCAGAAGGCGAATACTTTTCCGCTCAATGTGGTTGCTTTTGGGGATAGCACAGTGTTTTATTTTTAGAAAAATGGCACCATATCTAACTACGCTCTAGGCAACAGCTAATTAGAAGTATGAAAGGCTTTGTCATCAACCATTGCGTGCGGAACGGGTCTCTAACCCTTTCCATGCAAGCTGTACTTTAGAATCCAGCGGACAGTCCTCCAATCACAAGTAATATGTTTTATCTCTTTTGATCTAAAACACAACTTACAAGCCTGTGAGGATCGTTCACGAGCTTGGTCTCTGCGTAACGTAGACCTTCACTGCATTTCATCCAGTTATGTAGTTAAAATGTAAACTTGATCCTTCTTAAATTGCAGAAAGTGTACAGCACGGAGGAATTGTCAGAGGAAATGGCAAATTTGGAGGGTCTCATGAAGGATCTGAATGCCATGGCTCACCAGGAGTTTGAATGCGAACAGAACAATTGAGATGCCAATGGCACTTCGTTACAACTGAAACTGTGCATACTTCTAGTGTTTACTTACGAACCCTTTATGGTTCATCCTTTTGTAAATAGGGTTGTTTATTTATACTCAGACTGTTTATCAACCGTTATTGTTTCTGGCGGTTTGTCTATTACTATTAGAAGCGAATTGATACCTTGCGCTTGACAGCGTGACCTTTTTATACTTATTTGAAAACATGAAAGACCAAAGATGCGATTGATCCGAAAAATGAGTGACAGTTAAAAGTTAGACTTGGAAAGAAATGGCGGCATAATAATAGTAGGTTAAATTCTAATTAAACCTTTCCAGGTAGGATTGGTTGAGAAGCATTGGTTAATAGTTACTTAGGCTGTTGTTTATAGATTTATGCCACGGGCAACTAGTTAGTGGGAAATCGACTGCACAGTGGGGGTGGAAGGGGAAACAATTGCTGAGCACAGTTCGGGATTGATTGAGTAAGCTTAATACAAGGAGGTTGTCCATTCAGGTAAATTAAACATCGAACCTGCAGGAAATCCTGCTCAAAAGAAAAAAAAGGTTTTTCAGTCTGTTAGTTCCTGGCTGTTAATTCCTCATATCGAAAGACTAATTGGCGAGCATAGGTAGTCTTTCGATGAATTCTCCTCTGAAGGCGGTTAAGTTAAAAGCTAAAAATGCGGGCAATTACGTTTACCATTACGGTAAAGTTAGTCATGGAAGTAGGGGGAGGGGGTTGAGGATGATAATAGGGGGTTGGTTACGTGGCAGTGGAGGTTTGTTGAAGCTGGGCATGCGGGGAACGGAAAAAGAAAGGGCGGAAACGTGCAGGCATTTACGTGACCGTTGGCTATGCCAAGTACAGCGATTGCATTAGGTTCTTTTGCGCGCTTAAAGCCGGCTTCCTCAATCGGGATAGCGGTTGCTTCTGCTGTTGCAAGCACGCGCTGGCTAGGGACTCTGGATCGTTTGGTGGGCCCTAATAGATCACCTTGAAGGCTTCGTTGGGATCCATAGGATGTCCGGAGTGAACCATTTCGACAAGAATGGCGCCGTTGATGCTCCTGGCTCCACCTTCGCACAGCCGTCCAGCATACTTTTGGATGCACACCGAGTCGTGCGAGCAATATTTCTCTAAGCGTTTTGTTGTACATACTTCTTACGACTTAACGGCACCCGTTCTAATTATATACATGATAAAATTGGCCAAATAAAAAGTTGAATCTTACATGCAGATCAAATGATTAGCTTGAAGGGTTGAACGTGCCACACAGTGCTCGAGCATAGACGTCCTAATTTTCGGACACATTGTTCTCTAAATTGTTCGTTTTCATTTTAAGGTGGTGGCACTTATTTAGACTGCCTATTGTTGGACAGGTGGAATAAGGACAATGGCATCATGCTAACTTTATTATGCTACGTGCAACGAAAGTGGCATGATGCATACATGCCTTTTTCGACGGATGGTTAGATTTTTGCAGATGACAGTTTGAGAAAACGTCTGTGCGCAAGATATTTGAGTAGAATCCACCCCAACATCGGTTATCTTGCACTAAATTCCACATAGGGCACCTAATTCCTTGTCGTTAACTTAGCACTAACCAGATCCAGAAGGTGAATTAGCGAACGTACGTTTGTTTTCGATAACTCTCATCAGGCCTTTACATTTATATGATAATTAAGTAAATAAACTATGCGGGGTGGTAGAAAAAATAGAATGGTTGCTAAAGAAGGCACACATGGAGAAATTGAAACTCCTCCGGCAGAATAAAGATATACTCATCACAAGGCCAGATAAGGGAACGGGCGTTGTTCTAATGGACAGAACAGACTACATTGCGAAAATGCAATCCATTCTCTCAGAAAAAGATAAGTTTAGCAAGACAGAAAGGAGAAAGATAACACTGATTCGGTTAAAACACAGCTGATTGATTGCCCGAAAAGGCTTCAAAAGGACGGCATCATAAGCGAATACGACTAAGAGCGTCTTTGCCCCGTTGGCACGCACATATCTCGACTATACGGGCTGCCTAAGGTTCATAAAGATCGCGTACCCGTGCGTCCCATCCTAGATATGAGAAATTCGACATACCATGCTACAGCGAAATGACTAGCGGACAAACTGAAACCCCTACAGAGTCAACTTGCCCCATAAATTCTCCGAGACACCTTCGATTTCGTGGACGGTGTGAAAGAGCTCGACCTGAACGGGCCAGTGATGTTTTCACTGGATGTATCCTTCCTGTTCACAAACGTGCCGGTTACAGGAACAGTAAATTACATCTGTGAATTCATTAGCTCGAATCACCAGGACATAGGAGTGCCAGT